AAGTTGGGTCATTTACTACTACTAGGTCGTTTTGTACTAGCCAATCTTCTATTATATCTCCTCTAATATTATTTTCCTGACTTCCCCATAGTGAATTATGGGCATTAAAATCTCCGGATATGATGCAGTGTTTGTTTCTTGAGGTAAGATTTGTGATGGTATCAAGATCTTCTTTCTCTATTTTAACACTAGGGCTAAAGTAGATATTAAATACTGCCGTTATTAGCTCACCTGCCCGAAGGTCCAGGGTACTGATAATGGGCCTGTAGCATGCTGGGACGAATGGCAAAGACCTACTTTCAAGGTCACAGGGGTCATATGTGTTAAAATCTTTAAACGACATCTTCTCAGTAACCAAAAATCCCCCAGGTACAGATATTATGCGTGTAGCAAGCTGGGATGAAGGGCTACCAAGTTTGTTCAAATGAATGACTTAGACCCACTTTCAAGGTCACAGGGGTCAAATGTGTTAAAATCTTTAAACGACTTCTTCTCAATAACCAAGACGCCTAGGGTGATGATATTATACCAGTAACATGCTGGGATGAAGGGCTACCAAGTTTGTTCAAATTAATTACCTTGACCCACTTTCAAGGTCACAGGGATCATATGTGTTAAAATCTTAAACGACTTCTTCTCAATAACCAAATTCCCATTAGGTACAGATATTATGCGTGTAGCAAGCTGGAATGAAGGGTTACCAAGTTTGTTCAAATGGCTTACCTTGACTCACTTTCAAGGTCACATGGGTGAAATGTGTTAAAATCTTCAAACGACTTCTTCTCAATAACCAAAATTCCCAAAGTACTGATATTGTTCGTGTATCAAGCTGGGATGAAGGGCTTCCAAGTTTGTTTAAATGAATGACATTGACCCACTTTCAAGGTCACAGGGGTCAAATGTGTTAAATTCTTCAAACGACTTCTTCTCAAAAACCAAAAGGCCAAGGGTACTGATAGTGTGCCTGTTGCATACTGGGATAAAGGGGTACCAAGTGTATTAAAATAAATGACCTTCGAGTATTTTCAAGGTCACAGGGGACAAATATGTAAAAAATCTTCAAACAACTTGTCCTGAATAACCAAGAGGCCTAGGGTGATGGTGTTTGGCCAGTAACATGCTGGGATGAAGTGCTACCAAGTTTGTTCAAATAAATGACCTTGACTTATATTCAAGGTCACAGAGGTCCAATATGTTTAAAACCTTTAAACAACTTCTTCCGAATAACCAAGACGGCCTAGCGTGCTAATATTTGGCCAGTAACATGCTTGGATGAAGAGCTACGAAGTTTGTTTAAATAAATGACCTTCATCCATTTTCAAGGTTACATGGGTCAAATATATGACAATATTTAAACAACTTCTTCTGAATAACCAAGAGGCATAGGGTGATGATATTTTGTCAGTAACATGCTGGGATGAAGTGCTACCAAGTTTGTTAAAAAAAATGACCTCTACTTATATTCAAGGTCACAGGGGTCAAATATGTTAAAACCTTTTAACAACTTCTTCTGAATAACCGAGATGCCTAGCGTGCTTATATTTGGCCATTAACATGCTGGCATGAAGGGATACCAAGTTTGTTCAAATAAATGACCTTCATCCATTTTCAAGGTCACAGGGGTCAAATATGGTTAAAAAATTTAAACAACTTCTTCTGAAAAACCGAGAGGCCTAAGATGATGATATTCGGCTAGTAACAGGCTGGGATAAAGGGCTAGTACGTTTGTTTAAACAAATGACCTTAATTCATTTTCAAGGTCACAGGGGTCAAATATGTTAAAATCTTTAAACTACTTCTTCTGAATAACCCAGAGGCCTAGAGTGATGATAGTTGGCCAGTAACAAGCTGGGATGAAGGACTACCAAGTTTGTTAAAATAAATTACTTTGACTTATATTCAAGGTCACATGTTAAAATCTTCAAACAACCTCTTCTGAATAACCACTGGTAACGGTGTGCTGAATATATTGGTCTGTCCCTGGACGTCCATTGTATGTTTCTGAATACTCATGTTACTCTGTAGACTGGTAACGGTGTGCTATCGGTTGATAATAGTCTGTCCCTAGACGTCCATGGTATGCTTCTGGGTATTCATGTTACTCTTTAGACTGGCGATGGTTTGTTGTTGGTAATTAACTTGAACCCTAAGATCCTGTAATTCGGACTGTAAATGATTCAGTTCCTGAGCGAAATAGCCAGGGTTATTGAACAGTATTCGTCTCTTCGTGGCGGAGGTTACCACACACAGAAAATATATCGTTAATCAGATTCACGTCTGAGGTCGCACAATGCAAACAACCAAATTTAAATGGAAAGCATCTAAAAAGCGTTCGGAGAAACGGCAACGTTGCAATGATACTCCTATAGGCAAAATCTTGACCATTGATAGATAGGAAACCATTTTCAAATATCTATTACAACACATGTTTTGATATAGATATTCATATACTGTATATAGCAGACATAATACATTAACGACAGCTGATCACACATCAAGACAGAATTTGTGTGCTGATATCCTGCTGTATTCTGCCTCTCTTACTTGACGCCGTAGTATTATTGAATCCTTCAGTACCCACTTATTAATTCAATTACAAAATGTTTGGAAATCGCGATTCACTTTTATGGCGTTACAATTTAGAGCGTGCTATTCTGCATGAGGCATGCCAAGCTTTCCCAGTTAAAACGGGAAACCAAACTGTGAAGGGTGGGATAATCGTGTTTCTTCCACACTGCACAGGTGCATTGCTGTTTTATATTATGTAAAGATGAACAATTGCTAGGCATAAGCAAATGAACACAATGTCGTTACCGATCTTGCCTCGCCAGTAGTGAATAAGTTCCGAGCTCAACTCTGAATAAATGAAGAACTTTAAGAAATTTTCAGTAATCACAATTCTTTATTAAATTATTCAACATCAGTTTTGTTTCAATAACCGTACGCATACTGTCAATTCCTTTATTTTACTTACATTGATTAATCACTGTTTCATTTAAAATTAGGCAGTATAAATTTACTTAATACGTTATTGCAACTTAAAACCAAAATACACAATATTTATATGGAGTCCAAACATGATCAGCTTTTGCCTAAATTAATGAAAGACATGTCAAGGCAATTTTAGCGACCCCAGTTGCTTCAGATTCCTTTCGTGACCTTTTCATTTGGGCTTGCTGAGCAACAATGCATGTTATTGTTACCCAGTATCAGTGTCCATTAGTTGAACCGTTTGAGAGGTAAGTTTCTGCAAGCCAGTTATGAACTAATTGACCTATACTGCATCGGATCATTTACATACGGGTTATAAACACTGGTTGCAGAATTATAGCTTTTGAAAGGTAAAGTAACCCAAATGTGTACAAAGTGGCGGATGTTGTGATAGGGTCACTTTATTAAGGTCAGAACACACATGATCAAATGATTCCGGCTAGTTGCCGTTATATACAACCTTAAAGTCTGCACGCGGTTAGTGAATGTATTGATTAACCGTACTGTGTATTAGGAACCTGAATGATTATGACTTAATTATCGAATCCTGTGTAATTGAAATTCTTACTTATGGACTTATGATTCATATTATATCTTATACAAGAATAACTATGTTACAAATAATGTATAGCTACAATCAATAACAAAGACAAAAATAGCGTAGTAACACCAACACAAACTATCATATGCACAGACAAAAGCTAGAGGTTTTATAACGTACAGAACATTAAGTTCTTATTCGGATGAAAGCTTTAAAAATTAACGACAAGTAACCGTATATTTTGTATGGACAACTAGAACGGATGAAAAACATGTGTTTACACGGAAAGCAAAATATATTAGTATTTTAGTATTTAAACAGACAATAAACTAGCGAATTAACATACTCGGAAAGGTTCTCGAGTTTTTACACTGATAAACCCTGGTGTGTAAAAACAAAAAATAGCATATTTAAACAGACAAAAAGGTTTTATTTGTAAAGTTAATGCTAGCGTAGTGCCGCACGCACGCCCACACACACACACACACACACACAAACAAACACACACACAAACAAACACACACACACACACACACACACACAAACACACGCACAATAGGCGACGCAAAACCAAACAAACAAAAAAGACATTTTAACAAATCAATAATACAACATTCCCGAGAAAGGAGACACCTCATTATATAAACCCCCTTACACAGACCCCCAGTCACCCTCAGTGGAATCGGGTAATCAGGAGCGCTGGCCTTGTAAATTGTCTGTAATCTTAATTGGTAGAAAACAAATTTTAATTATTTGAGAATATGATAATTTGTTTCAAAAATCAAAATATAGAGACATAAACAGTTTTATTCTGTCAGAGAAGTTTTAAACAGTTCACCATATTACCCGTTAATACCAAATTTATTAGATAAATGCCTCCACCCCATCCACTTAAAAAGCAACGCAAAACAAAAACCACAAGCACATGTTACAGTTAGCTTGATGCCGGAGTTTGCAATGCAAAAACTAATATATTTTCGCATAAACGTCACCTGCCGCGTATTTTAAGTAATCTAATATGATGTTATATATATTCAAAACATAAGTTTGCAGGTTATACCATATGCTTCAATAGTGTTGTAAAATGAACAAAGTATTGTTGAATAGGTATGCGGTATTCGGAACAACGGTTTTATAATTGTTTTATATCTTTAAGAGAATACTTGTATGAGAAAACACAATATGTCCTTTTCTTGATGACACTCGCCTTATCCCCGTCTGGCGTAATACACATCTTATAGTATCACAAAAATATTCCCAACCACAAGAGGCCCACATGATGACTGTAGTGGAGAATTGGGAGTTAAATAGTCAATGTCAGCAGCAAATTTATAATCAAATTAAGTGCTTATGTCACTCCGTTTTGACACGTTGATCACTTGAGGGGAGGGAGAGAGCCAGGTGGATTCCGAACAAGAGAGTATAAATACATCCGTAGGTCCCTTTCTCGATACGATCTTCACTAGTACGTTAGTCGACACCATGGCAGTTTGGCTTCTCTGTCTTGTTTTCAGCGGTAAGGAAACTATCATATTATTTCATTTTTGATAATTTAGAGATGTGTTTTATTCATAAGCCATAACGATGTAAGTTGGTTCCAAAATGAGCATATTGTCACGAAACACATTATGTATGCATATGCATAATTATTATTACAACCAGTACGTATTTTATTTTGCTTGGTTATAGATCGGTTATTAATTATCATATCATTATCTATGACATAACTGATGCATTCGTAAATCCTGGTTTATAATAGGTAAGAAAATGTTCATATTATTATTTTCATAAGACATTACATATGTATTTTCTCTCGTTTTGTTGCAGATCCGTTATGAAACCATAGCGTTATCATTATAAGCATTTCTTATTCATAATATCTTATGTTCGTGAAGTAAGATAATTAATTATCATAAATGGCATATGCATTATATATTATAAGGAGGAAATTGAATGAAATTATGCTATTGTTTATATATTTAGTTATGCATCATAGTGTTGCATATTAGTGCAGAATGGTCATAGGTGTCATTTAGTTGTTTTAAGTTTAAACTTTGTCTACATCACACGTGGCTGCTTGAATATAACTGATTACCTATTTGTATCGGCAGTGCTAGATATGTCGAATGCTAGCTGTTAGCGACGAAATGGCAGCTCCGGCTGTATGCTCCCCAGGGAGTTGAGAAATATATTGGATGGTTGCAAAGGCCCTATAACCACGGATAATAATTTGTGAACCGCTTTGAGACGACCTACGAACTAGGTTGTGATAAAGCGGTTTATAAGAACCTCCAATTATTATTGCATCACCCGTCGCTGCTTTGAATATTTAACTGATTACCTTTTTGTACTGAATAAAGTATGTAAATTTGCAGTTCTGAACACATCAGGGATCCTAGGTAACATCGCCTACAATCTCGACAATGACGTCATTCCAATTGTTGATACATTCTTTACATTTCCTGTACTAAAACGGAAATAAACATAACATTGCATCTTCAAATCGTAGGTTGCCTAGCGTTCCCGGAGATTCCAACTCCCCACCACCCGGGGCAGGACCTTATCGACCTTGCCTTGCAGACTCAGGTAAGTCCATATTATTTAGCTTTGTTCAGGAAGCATCTCATTTTCGAATAGTTTGTGTACACAAAGTAAACTTCCCGGTTTTATGTTGATGCAACTGATTTAATTCACCCTACGATAAGATCGGTTGTTCCTTTTCTTGAATATAATTTGAAGTATTGAAAGAATCGGTCCTTGTCAAGTCTGAAAATAATATGTGATACGAAAATATCAAGATGTTTTTGAACATTTCCTAATATAGCTAAGTGAACAAATGAAGACACAAATGTATCTTTCAACATTTATTAAAGACACAGAAGCATAATATCTAGTTGAAAAATGAATGGTTCAATTCGACCGAAAAGGAAAGATATCGGTCAGTCGGTTATTGCAAAACATCATATATTCATCGGTTTTTGTTTTCCACCTCCAAATATCTTCATATGAATAAAAACATCACACTTTATAACATACATAAAAACAATAACTTACATATTTGTTTTCAATAAATAATAGATTCGTTAAGTGCAGCATATACAAAACACCACAATTAAATGTGCATTGCTTTGCAATTTTGGCAGAGAATGAAATATATATAAAACAAAACAAAAAAAACCCCAGTATAAACGAAAATTATAGTTTTGTTAGTCCAGTTGATTTTGACGTCATATTACAATAGAGACACGTGAAAGTAACGTCCAATGAAATGTCCCGACACAAACATATTTTCAACCAATCAGTATCAATCATGTTCCGATTCAATAACAGACATTCCTATGGTTTTCCTTTATAATATCATTATACATGTGTATGTTTGATTGTTCTGATAATTTCACTCATCCTTCTAACGTGTGAGAATGTCAACGAAATACGCTATTCTCATAAAAATATTGTAATAAAAAAATAAGCACAATAATGAAAGTAAATTTGGGAATGTGAACAAAAGTTTCAGGTATTTAATAACGCCAATTCCCGTTTCAAGATTAAAAGGAAAATGTACCACATTGTTTATACACATGAATAAGAAATAGACGACGTACAAAAAGACAATTGCAGACCATCAAAACAAACGGAAAAATAAACCACGTGGGGAAGAATATTAAATAGATAAAACATAACAAAAATAAACACAGGCGAAATCAGTGAGCGTGACTTTATGTCATCCTGCATAATGTCTCGTCAAACCCAGTAAAATTAAGAGTAAAGGATTGTTAGAAACTCGTGTTTTTCTGAAACTTGCGCAAAATCGTTTTGTGTAATAATAACCTAAAACATGTAGTATTTGAAACATAAAAAGAATTTAAAGGAGGGTACACGTACCAAAAGTGAAGAAATAAAACGAAGACCCAGAAAAAACTTTATCTTTATCTTTATACGTGTCAGAATTTTATAACATATTTATTATATAAGTTACCGTTGATCCAAACAAAATCAGTTCACTCTTGATATACTGTTTAGATATATTCACACACAAGATTGGTATTGTATGCACTTCAGGCTGATTTGAAGGGAGAGAGCAGGATCGTGGGAGGTGATGACGCCTATATCAATAACTACCCATGGCAGGCCTCACTGAGGTCTTATGGACAACACATCTGTGGTGCCGTTATACTTAGTGAGGACTTTGTTCTCACGGCAGCTCACTGCGTTGGAAATAGCGCGAGGTTTGTTTGTGTTTGTCTTAAGAGACGATAATGTAATATGACGACGGTATTCGCTAGTAATTGTGCCACCACTCAAGAGTAAATTTATGGCATTCATGCATACATGTATATGACGTCATGGATAGCAATTTCATATGACTTATTTCACATAGAAACCCAGTAAGACACGGAGGAGGCAAGAATATCAAGAGTCTTCTATTTACAGTGGGTCGTTAAAGACAAGACCCCTCTATTTACAGTGGGTCGTTAAAGACAATACCTCTCTATTTACAGAGGGTCGTTATAGACAAACCTCTCTATTTACAGTGGGTCGTTATAGATAATATACCTCTATTTACAGTGGGTCGTTATAGACAATACCCCTCTATTTACAATGGGTCGTTATATATAATACCCCTCTATTTACAATGGGTCGTTATAGACAATACCCCTCTATTTACAGTGAGTCGTTATAAATAATACCCCTCTATTTACAGTGAGTCGTTATAGACAATACCCCTCTATTTATAGTGAGTCGTTTTAGACAATACCCCTCTATTTACAGTGAATCGTTATAGACAATACCCCTCTATTTACAGTGAGTCGTTATAGACAATACCCCTCTATTTACAGTGGGTCGTTATAGACAATACCCCTCTATTTACAGTGAGTCGTTATAGACAATACCCCTCTATTTACAGTGAGTCGTTATAGACAATACCCCTCTATTTACAGTGGGTCGTTATAGACAATACCCCTCTATTTACAGTGAGTCGTTATAGACAATACCCCTCTATTTACAGTGAGTCGTTATAGACAATACCCCTCTATTAACAGTGAGTCGTTATAGACAATACCCCTCTATTTACAGTGGGTCGTTATAGATAATACCCCTCTATTTACAGTGAGTCGTTATAGACAATACCCCTCTATTTACAGTGAGTCGTTATAGATAATACCCCTCTATTTACAGTGAGTCGTTATAGACAATACCCCTCTATTTACAGTGAGTCGTTATAGACAATACCCCTCTATTTACAGTGAGTCGTTATAGACAATACCCCTCTATTTACAGTGAGTCGTTATAGACAATACCCCTCTATTTACAGTGAGTCGTTATAGACAATACCCCTCTATTTACAGTGAGTCGTTATAGACAATACCCCTCTATTTACAGTGAGTCGTTATAGACAATACCCCTCTATTTACAGTGAGTCGTTATAGACAATACCCCTCTATTTACAGTGAGTCGTTATAGACAATACCCCTCTATTTACAGTGAGTCGTTATAGACAATACCCCTCTATTTACAGTGAGTCGTTATAGACAATACCCCTCTATTTACAGTGAGTCGTTATAGACAATACCCCTCTATTTACAGTGAGTCGTTATAGACAATACCCCTCTATTTACAGTGAGTCGTTATAGACAATACCCCTCTATTTACAGTGGGTCGTTATAGACAATACCCCTCTATTTATAGTGAGTCGTTATAGACAATACCCCTCTATTTAGAGTGGGTCGTTATAGACAATACCCCTCTATTTACAGTGGGTCGTTATAGACAATACCCCTCTATTTACAGTGGGTCGTTATAGACAAGACCCTTCTATATACAGTGGGTCGTTATAGACAAGACCCTTCTATATACAGTGGGTCTTTATAGACACGAGGTATATCACATTTTACTTTAAAGTAATAACATTTAAAACGACAGCAGTGTTTAAGGAACACCAGGTATACATCACAAATGATACCCGTGACTTTAGTTTTAGTAATCTCTCTTAGAGATGTATATCACCTCAGCCATAATACCCGTGATTTATGTCAGAGTTAAGGATAAATATTATACCGGGTTGTATATTCCTGTCATCTGTTTATCTGTCAACACTGTCATCAATTTTTCTAACAATTAAAATCGTATTCGGTTTTCTTTGAGTGCGACTTTCTCTAAAATAGAGATTTATATTAGGGAAGCTTTCAGCCTTTATTTCACATTTTTCGTCACAGTACGTACTCGATCCGTGTAGGCAGTTCCAGTCGCGTCTCTGGAGGTTCCACACACTCCGTATCCAATGTGTTGCAGGTAAGTCAGCTTCAACTATACTTTAGTCTGACCTGCAGCTTTCCTGAAGTAGTGGCACACTGATGAGTCCTAAATGGACTAAACAGCTGTACGGTACAGTGCAACTGTATTTGATACCAAACTGTATTGGTTGAAGCGCATGTGTGTGTCTTACGTTCATAACAAAGTGGTATTTGTTGAATAAATATAGTTCAAGGTATTCCCAATTCTGATTTAACAGACCAATTCGCAAATCCACCCTTTAAGTCCCTGCCACAGCGATGTGTCCTAGAAGGTTAAAACAGCTGTATCGTACAGTGTTATTCATTTTTCGGATATTTTATATGTAAACAAATGAAATGTATCGTCATAATGCAAATAAATGATGCAACAAACTAGTAGTGACGTAGAAATTCGAGATGTCAAAGCTTTCTGTGTAGCACACAAAGTATCTGAAACGTCGTATAGCTTATTTACACTGAAAACAAGCTTTGTTCTCCTCAGCACGAAAACTTCCAAAATTCGCCAAACACTGGCGAAGGCGCCTTTCCAAATGATATTGCCATCATGAAGTTAAGTTCTTCAATTTCGTTCAACTCAAACAAACAACCGATAAGTTTGACATCCGCTACTAACGCCCAACTAGCAGGCTACAATGAAGAGGACTGTGTGATTACAGGATGGGGTAGAACAAGCAGCGATAGTAAGAATACTTTTGCATAACTCTTCCGGTCGCGGAGTCAAACAATGGCCGTGTTGCCCGTATGTGTCATGGGTATCATATGAATGTTTGTATTATTGAGAAAATAATTCATCTAGAAATGATAGTGAAAAAATGTATTGAAGAGGTGAAAGAAAAATGTTATCTATTTCAATATATATATTTTTTTCTTGTATATTTAGCACTGCGGTGTGACCCTCAGATCAGTATAAAATGTATATTAACTTTTATCGCACCTCGGACAAAATGTCCAAAAACCATTGGTTTAGAGCTGTCACGTGGTTACCCTCTAAATTTTTTATAGAGGGTCAGTATGATTCCATTATAGGGCAATATGGCCGCCCATTGCTCACCGATTCAAAACTAAAACATTTGAATTTGTTAAATATTCATATTGTTTTGTTATACATTACATCATTTTCATTTTAAGCAAAAAGGGTCCTCGATGCGATAAATTCGTTATATAGTCAGTTACTGACCCTCTATGGTTCTGTAGAGGGTCAGTAACTGACTATATAACTAATAATATTATCAGTTGCAAAAGTAAAATTGTCTTTAGCTGAAGAGTTAGTGGTATACCTCTCAGACGTAAAACATGACCGTTTAATTGTTGAACAGTATTCGGTATAAATGATTATCATAAGTTACATGACATATATATATATCCTTACCCATGCGAAACACGTGGTTTTATCTCCTTGTTAACCTTCCCTTGTCTTACTTCAAATTTTAGTTATTACTACAGTTTTGTCTTCATTAAAGCAATATCTTGTAATCAGCAAATAGCTTCTCCTCTGATGTGACCCCGAGGTGTAATGTAGAACTGACATCTGTTGAACAGCTTGCGATGTGGACCTCATACAGTTTTGGTGTGACCTGCAGTTGTGAACTACATCCTTGTTATTTAAACTGTTTCTGACATGACCTTTGGTTGTAAATTAGCATTTTTGTCCGTTGGAAAGTTTGCTTACTTGGGTTCTGCAGTTGTGAAGTAGCATGGTTGTATATTGCTTCTGCCAATTAAACACTCATGTTAAAGTTGATTCTTCAGAGGTGTTCACACAACCCACATAAACCGTATCTACTCGTTTATGATAAGTAAATATACTAGGCATAGTTTTAGCATAAGGTTTTCCTTGTGGATAAATAAGGTACAGCTTCAGTAGTGTGAATATTTATAGCGTTTAGATAATCAAAGTAAATATTTAAACTAGTATCTTCATTGGGGTTTCATATGTGTCATATACTGATTCATACGTGTTATCTTGACCTAATGATAGTTTCGTAGTTCATTGTTCAGTTATGCGAAAAATTAATTCTATTTAATTTTTAACCAGATTTTATATTAAAATACTACCAATTTTATCAATGAACATTATACAAAACTGAACACTAATTACTAAAGCATTTCCTAAATTCATATTTCAACATTCGTATTTGTCATTGACAGGTGATTTACCCACTCAGCTCCAGAAGACCAACGTTAAGGTACTGACTGATGCCGTTTGCACACCATATATTGGTTCCAATTACCTGAACGGAGACATACATATTTGTCTGGACGGCGCAGGAGCCTCAGGAAGCTGCAATGTAAGTACTGCTTAGCTGTCATTTCACGGTCCACACAACAACCAAGGTCATATGACGGCCGTGTCCACAAACGTTTGGTCAATACCAGACCTCACGGATTTGTAATACATGTACATCAGATGCTCCCATCAGGAATATCTTGTCAAATCCAGAAAAAAATGCAGCTCACCAATGATCGACAGAATGTTATAATTCTTACTAATAAGATAACTTTGACTGCTGGTCAACAAACATATAGTTGAAATTGATATCCATCACTGGTAATACCCCTATATGAATCTAATATGTTTACACATTAACAATTCCTTTGAACAATCCTGAGATAACCGTAAGAACCAAAAATGTTGTAATGATCCAATAACAGCTAGAACTCTTTTCTCGTAAATGTTTTCAATCGAAACCTATTCGGGTCTTTCCGTTAAACTGTTTGAGTAATCGGGGACCAATCATGACGCTTCGTCAAATTCAAATTGTGACGGAAATTTCCGAAAAGTTTTCGAATGACATATGCTGCTTGACAAAACAAGGAAAGAACGAATTCACAAAAAGACGTATATGTTGAAAAGCAATTCTACTATTTGCCAAAACAGTTTGAGATGTTTTTTGAACAACTATTCTCCTATTTGCTAAACAAATTCGACATATATTTTTAACAGCTATCCTGCTATTTGCTGAAACAATTTGAGATACATTTTGAACCGAATGAGACTACAACGAACGATATAATAACAGTTGTTTCAACGTAAATGTAAACATTCGAATTCATCTTTTTAACATCCATAAAGGAGTGCAACGTGACACGTTTAAACGGTACTGTGTTACATGCCACGACCAATGCTAACAATATACTTCCTTTATTAGTTTGTGTATACAACTAATTGACGCGCTTAAAATGATGATCTACATGTAGTTTGGAGGATGTGATTGATTAAGAATAAATGCTTCTACTTACATTCTAAAGAATTTATGAGACCAATGCTTTCGAGATGGGCCAAGGATTCATGAGTAATTCCTTTTATGAATAAGTATGTGAAATAGTTCAGTTTAATACCAAAATATTGAAGGTTCTTTCTTTTGTTTAACAGATTTTGAAATATATGTGATCTTTACGTGATAAACCTCAAACATATTTGGAGATCCAAAAGTCCATTTTCGGTCATGCATTTACGTAACCATTTCTTCGCTGTGAATGCAAGAAGCGTCGATTCTAATGGGAAATCCCGGAAAACAATGTGATGTAAACGGACGCCTACCGTTCTTAAACAGATGAATTTATAGTGTGAAGATTGTTGTTGTTTTTTATTGTAAACCTCAATGGATATCAGACCTTTTGATTGCGTAGTAATATTCTTGCGTACAAATCTCAAAAGTAACTGTTACAATATTGAACGCGCTTTTTGTATTTTACTGTCCCTCTCTTCTTCTTATGAAAAACAGACTGGACGGGGTTTGCTGCTTCCGACTTTGTTGATTATAGACAGAGGCACCTGTCTATGATCTATTAGAGCAATATTTTAATCATCATCAGACGTTTTTATCAGTGCTTTGAAATTCTATAATTTTCTTTGAAAATCTGTGTCTTTATAAAACATGGTCATCAATGTATTTAATTGACTATCTTAAATATGGTTATGGTATGAAGAAGATGACCTTACTTCTGTCATATTTTTGTTTGCGTCTCAGGGTGACAGTGGAGGTCCTTTGGCGTGTAGAGTCGGTAATGAATTTGAACTTGCTGGTGTGACGTCATTTGGACTGGTAGGCTGTCCGACGAACTCTCCTTCAGTATACGCCGAGACGTACGCCTTCAGGACCTGGGTCCAAAACGCCATGAAAAGCATGTAATCTTAGTTGTAATCATGTTATTTCAACAGTAAAGATATATCAAGCCTCTATGATTGTACGTGTGTAGTCCTTTATACTTAACATATATACATATGCGTACGTACGTGCGTATTTGCGTGTATGCATATTTATTTGTTCCTATGCACGCATGTAGACAAGAATATATTTAAGTAGTATTTATGAAGTCATGATAATTACAAGTCTTTTCCATCAAGGCGATATCTATGAAATTTCACTGAATTCTAAAACAACCCCCTTACATAAATCGCGTTAGTTTGGTTATGACAATATTAAACATATGTAAAACAGAACTGTATCGGTGTCAATGAATCCGTTTAAAACGTATCTTCATCAATGTCTGCTTCTATGAACTACCCGTTATAGATATAAAGTTAAAATCGTACTTGTATTCAATTTACGGTTTAACATGTTGCAGAAACGGAGAAATCGTTCAATCTGGGCTTACAAATAGCTGAAAACAGCCTTGCTTGTTCACTTTGAATGCTGATATTTCTGCTTGTCAAGGCAACAATGGTCAAGAATGCAAATAAAATACAATTTTGTCGAATAAGTCAAAGTCAAAAAGCAGTGTACAGTAGAAATGGTTTGATCCTAAAAATAAAGGGTATGTCCCAGATAAACATGGATAGCGGATTTATCCTGCACAACACACATATATAGAGAGAGATATTTATAAACTACAATTTGAATACATTTTTTTAGAAGAATGATTTCCTTTTCAAAAAGTGATTTACCCAGATTTGGGACTTGTGAAAACCACATCAAAAAACGCAAAAAATATGCAAAAATGCATGAATTTTAAACCACAATTTGACCAACGGAAGTAATATTTTTTTTCTTAAAACCTGTCTGAAATTGAATATCACCTACTCGGTAACAGAAATACTCACGTTTTAGCATAGGTCGTTCAACTGGATTTTTCACAATATTTTTGGGCTGAGTACAAAAATAGACTACATGAAAAGCTAGCTTTTGTTGTGTAGACACAGATTTGTAAATGGCCAAAAATATAGTCTCAAACCAAATTCAATTTTAGTGCTGATCTTGTTTTAAAACTTTGATACATGTAATATTACATGGGTTATTCATGGTACAAAAATATCTCCCATGGCCACCGTACGCTACTGTACACTGCCTGCTACCTTCCACTACTACAGCGGATAGGGTCAGATTACCGGACAGTAAGCTTCGCGAGCATATCCTGCCTACTTGGACACTGGACTTATTCGCAGTGAAAACGTTTAGTGGACATAGAAATAGACCCATCCTTGCCTGAAAAGTCCTGCAAAGTGACCAAGCGAGCAGTATGTTGGCGAAACTGTCTGGAAATGTGTTTCTATAAATGACTTAGGCAGTGCTATACTGAGCTTACCTTTCAACAAACCAAAAGTATTGCTGATAATGATTAATCAGAATTTCTATCTAAAAGGCTACGTTTTCTAAAGTAACTGTCTTTATTTTTAGAATGCTTTAAGCTTCACTGGTCTTTCAAAATTTTAATGCAACGCTTTTGGTTCATTTCTATAGTTATTCAGTTGGCACAAATACAGTTTCGATTGATCAAATATGCGACATCCTTTTCCAAAAGACGATGAAAAAATAGTTCTGTGTTGATTTTAGTAAAATATTTTTCTGTTTTTTAAAATGAAGACACAAGAATAATAGAGTTAACCCTTTTACCCCTATGTAACTTCAGTAAACTCTTCCATGCATTGATTTGGATGAGTCCATTATAGTTTAAAGTGGTGAAAGGGTTAAATCCTGAATGCTTGTGTAATGTTTTAAACAAATGGATAGAGATCAAACAATTATATTGACGAAGTAGAATACATTTTCATTACCATGATAAGGCACCCATCCAGTATGTTAGGACACCTAAATCTATAATATCCTTTTCCATACTGAACACACGTGGGTTAAGGTGCCCTCGCCTGATATAGCGTGATGTCGCTGAGGTGACCTTGTTTTCCTTAACTTGATTCTTAGAACTACTGTTTAAACCATATTTTATATTCGTGTTAATTAACATGTACAATGACATAGTCATTTTTATTCTGATGATTGGGAAACAAGTACTTTTGTACTTAACAAGCTTAGCTGACCATACATGTAGTAAAGCTTTGTATAAGAAATTAGAAAGAAAGATAGAACATGAAATTAGAGAAAAAGAAAGTAGTTTTGCAGTAATAGCCTGAATAGTATGTACATAAGAAGCTAGAAAGAAAGATAGATCACGAAATAAGAGAAAAAGAAAGTACTTGATGGAGTTCTTAGAGTTATATATACCAACTAATACCAAAAGAATATCATTTTCATTTAAGGCACTTATAGATCATATAACATATGATTACATGTACCTGACATCGTCAGTAAGTCCAAGTTACAACTGTCGTTCGACTAAGTCTTGAGAAAGACGAAACTTTGCTATAGCGCCAACACTCCGTGACAAAAAACCCAGAAAAGCAACATTAGGAACCTACGATATATTGACATAATATGAAACCAGAAAAAAAATCCAGCTGATTTGAAATTTAAGCATTACAAGCACTTGCTTAACTCACCAATTGCATTCTAAAAGAGTAGGTTGCTTACAAACGTACTACAACTGGAGTGGACATGTATATCATCGTCACAGATAACGATTTAGTTCGAAATCATGTCATAATGACAAGTTGAAGACGGAATCCTCTTTGGTAGGAAACATTGGACACAAAATTAATTGGTAAACAGGACACATATATCCTAGAGAACCAGATTCTTGAGTAACATCTGAACTCAATTAACACAGAGATCTAGTAAAACCATTATAGAAGAAGAAACCAGAACTCGATCGTATGTCTGATACCATTCTGATACTCCAGCTCGATCAGCAACTACTTGTAAACAGTTACAAGATAGTCAATTAGGACGTTTTACTTGGTTTAAACGAGTTACAAACAAGCATTGAGCTGCGAGTACATGCTCGATCACGAAAAGGGTTTCATGAATACCAACCCTAAACTATTCGACCCTCAGTGTAATGTTATTGTTTTTACCTCATGGCAACACAATATATGTGTTTCATATTGCCGGTATAAGTCAAATGGACTGATATTCAGAATCCTGAGAGGTGAATCAAGTTCAGCACAATGTATTGTGGTAAACATTGTGCAGAGTTCAAAAGTTTCAATAGAAATTACTGTTGGGGTTGCCAACACAGCGGGGTATTGATGTGACGACACGATACCTGCATGACATTTTCGATATCAGTCAGATTGGGACTAATATTCCGAATCATGATAGTTTTTTGGGGGGGTCCAAAATGGCCTATCCTTTGATTTCAATTTTCTTTTGGGGAGGTGTATCCCTAACCCTTATCACAACAAAATCACAAACCAAAATTCAAATGAGTACTTGGTTCGTTTTTTCGTAGGAGTATAAAACTGCAATTAGCAAAAAGTCAGAGTTTTTTCCCAAAAGACGAATGTTGTCAAACTAATAATGCATTGAAAGGTTTTGATGCAACCAAAACAAGGGATCATATGCTACAGTATACATGTAAAAATATCTTGCTGTGGTGAGTTATTAGATATTTACAGACAAATCAACAGCCGTACGTTTACAGATAATCTTTTGCAAGATGCAAGAGTATGAAATGTGTTCGAATGGCAGACTTGTAAAAAAGAAGGGAGAAAAACATGATGCGAGGCTTTGAGTTTGTTTCCAAACTGGTGATTCTAGATTCACAGGAAAACAACTTATTTCAAGCTTTGTTGGAACTTCTTAGCCCTTGGGTGAAACTGTTTTGGATTTTGTATGAGCACACATTCCCATAGTTCTTTGACCAACTGGGCATTGGCAGTAGTAATATTTTATTGGATAATTATCATTTGGTGTCGTGCTGTAATGAATCAAGCATGGAAATACCAAAAAGAGCATATCAGTTTTCATCTTAACCCAAAACAGTAAAGAAGCATTTTGTGTAGTTTGGTTTATACTGAAAAAGGAAGAAATGGGACAAATTACGTATGGATTTTGAGAAAGTGTTCTTTGACCAACCTGTCTAAGCTTTGCAGCCAAAGTCATCCAAGAGACAAAAAATGAGAGTTAAGGCTAATTGATTCTTTGGTTAAATGTACGACACTTCAAACAATTCATCAATTATTTCAGATGACCTACTTCATAATTGAGAGTTCAAAGACTCTCTTCCTTATAGGATAACCTGTGCACAAGGGTTTCTTCCTTATAGGATAACCTGTGCACAAGGGTTAAGGTAATTGCCAATAAGATGAAATGAGCATACACGTGATGACGATAACACCTTAATTTATGTGTGAAAATTAACTGATGCCTGGCACGTCTTTGCAGAAGTGTGGATTTGCTTCCCTTCAAATTCAAATTGTTAAAACAAAGACAACATTTTTTATGAAAACAGGGCCCGTAAAATAGGTCCGTGATTGTTTAGAGAGGAAAACGTCTAGTAGGTTCATCCTCAAAACGTTCTGTTTCAGATTCTCTTTTGCGCAGATACCGTATGTAGCACTTCGAGCAAATACTAACTTCTTCATTTGTGTAATCCATAACACTTTATATCAGTATATCCAAAAGCTTTGATATTATGGAGTTTTTACATTTACGAGATTTTGCGAAGATACGATGGCGACCTTCACCAATACATTTATTCTTCATTATGAGATGATTATTAACAAACGATTAGAAATATCCCCTAAAAGCAATGTAAAAACGAAAGTCTGATGATGAAATGTAATAAAGAATGATAACAAAACGGATAAGAACAAATTCTAAAAAGTGACAAGAAAATTACATTTGATCTCAAAATTGATTACTAAAAAATAAATACCTTTATCAATCACGCCAAGTGATGAAATAAATTGGAATTTGGAATCTTTGTGACCTTACATGCACTAAAAGGTATATTGTAGGCTTGCAACGAATATTATTACCAATTATCTGTAATTATTTTTTGGTGGACGCCAGGGAGGTGTCTTAGGCCCTTGCCTTTCTGGGTACACAGGGTATTTTGTTGTGCGAAATGAATACTTTCCACCACTTTTTTTGGACTGACTTTTTGCATACATATTTGAAATAACACCACTTCTTCATACTATGACAATTTTTGGTATAGAGTATAATAAGAATGAAAAATCCTATATTTTTCATTAAAATGTTCACAAAATGTTCGATTAAACTCACATTCTGGATTATAAATATGTTTTTAAAGCACTACATGAAAAAAAATGAAAATGCCCTTTCCCAAGTTTTACGATGCAAAAAATACGCCTTTTTTTCAGAAAAATACTTTCAGGCTGATATTCCATTTTTCGACCACCATGCTGTAATTAGGTTAATGATTCAAAGTAATAACCCCAGATGTATCAGGGATTGAAAAAAGTTAATACAGCAGCTTAAATCTCGTAACACTTCTGAAACAAAAGTTATCAGGGGCAGATACTATGTAATTTTAACTTAGCTTGAAATAGTCCCTTTGGAAAAATTCAAAAGATCTTTTGATCAATCTATAACATTTTCTTCTCAAAATGTTTCTTCCGTCAAGGATTTCATGAATTACTTTGAATCATTAACCTAATTACAGCATGTAGGTCGAAGTCTAGCCCCACTGACTGTTTTACTCTCAAAAACACTGTGATTGATTATATTTCGTTTGTTTGATCTTTATTATTTCTCATAAATTAAAAGTCCCTCAAGGTATGAGTTTCTTTTCAGAAATGATTTATTGAAACTACATGTATAGCCATGCCTATAGAGCAGAGCCAGCGAGCGTTCTGATATTTAGACTATCAGCGTTCCTTGTCCTCGATGCTCTCAGCTTAATTGCTGCCTTCGACTGTCTTTAGCCGAGGGTACTATTGGTTTTATATAATAGCTATATTTTCAATTATAGTATATCAGTTATATCTTCTTGTAATATGATGTATATGTACATGTAACTGTTCTGTTTCACTGTGTCTTGATAAAGGAGCGGATCGCTCCGAAAATTTGACAACCTAAACTTGTCCACACTGTTGGAATTACTTCTTTGCCCCATATAACATATATATATATATATATATATACCAAGCCTTTTTTTTATCCCGTTAAACTTTCATCCTTCGCCAGAATAATCCTTGTTTGCTCAGTGCTAATTTCGATCTTTACATTTAATTACCAAGTATATTATGTTGTTCACTCAAGTTCACAGTAAGGATAAATCCACCCTCATTACAACAGGTGAGAAAGCTGAGAATTAAACTGCAGTGAACATTTTACATTCAACAGTATATCAGTAATAAAATGTACATCTTTCCTCAAGCGGTATTGGAGATATGTACAGGACAAAGTAACAACCTTAAATTGTAAAGTGTAAGTAGGACGGTCCTACCTTTACAGGTTTCTCAGTAACTTCTATATGAACAGACCTTTTGTGAATTTACATACGAGATATATCAGAAAAAAGGTCAAAAGTCAGAATTAAGCCAGTGCTTTTTGCCTACTACCTGTTCTTGTTAAAACCCCTGAATCACTTCAGTACAATACATGTAAAGGAATGTGCAAACAATATGCAAAAGTGTTTAATTTTCATAATTCATAAATCGCAACAATCAACACTTTGTCTTTAAAACTATCTCTCATTTTGAAAGGATTTCTTCGCAAAACTTATAATTAATACACATATATGTACATTAAAATCAACATTTTATATAACTTTTCTTTCATTTAGATATCACATATAATCATTCTAGCTATATACCTGAAAAGAGTTTCTAACACAAGTTTTAACTAAACTGAAATGTTCATCAGGATGACGAAAACGTTTACATGTTATAAACATAGAATTCTCATTAAAAACAGAGAAACAACATATGCAGATAAATGGCACCAACAAACTCAACGAAATTTCTAACATACATCAGGGAAACTGACAATTTATATCGCAGAAAATATTTCAGTGCACCTGGTAAGCCGGTACTAGTAAAAACGGTGAATGATTCTATTTGATCAGATTTCCTTGGAGGACTATGCAAGCTAAGCAAAATGAGAAAACACTGGAGAAAATTGGTCAGATAGTGCCCACTCTCTCTAAAAAAAATATATAAAAGGATAGACCGTTACAATGTTTTATGTACAATCCCAAAAAAATATATTACTTCTACATAACAATGGAAGTAAGCCATAATATAAACATCAAAATAACACAAAATTATAAATTAAAAAAAAGCATTTCCGATATTCTGCTTGGTGAAGTTTTTGAAACTGTGATAAAACTTAAGTTATATCCAAGTTAAAGTACAATCAACTATGATACTAAAACTCCTGACGAATCCAGTATTTTTCTTTGACAGATTTTGAGTACATTAACTCATTCACCCCTAACATTTCATAATTAACTATTCCAGCCTTTGAATTGGAAGAGTTCAAATGTGTTTTCAGGGGTGAATGAGTTAAGATAAAGTTATATTGTATGTGGTGATTTGTAAATGCATGTAATTTTCTATTCAATGCGAAGGATGGTATAACAAGTAAGGTGTTTAAAATACCAAGGACAACCTTGTCTAAGAATTCTTATTACTAGTTTTTACCATAGACATCGTTGCTGAAAGGGTCGTTTGAGGACATCACTTCCTAAGAAATTTACTTTTGTTGACCATTGAGACGTCATTGTCTGTTGTCCTGCAACAACACTAGGACATGTAATCGTAGTATTGTTGACAGACATCGCTGTCTGTTGACCTGGTACAACACTAGGACATGTAGTCATAGTATTGTTGACAGACATCGCTGTCTGTTGTCCTGCGACAACACTAGGACATGTAGTCGTAGTATTGTTGATGGACGTCATTGTCTGTTGTACTGCAACAATACTAGGACATGTTGTCATATTATTGTTGACGGACATCGCTGTCTGTTGACCTGGTACCATATTATGACATGTAGTCGTAGTATTCTTAACGGACATACCTGTCTGTTGACCTGGGACAACACTAGGACATGTAGTCGTAGTATTGTTGACGAACCTCGCTGTCTGTTGACCTGGGACAACACTAGGACATGTAGTCATAGTATTATTGACGGACATCATTGTCTGTTGTACTGCAACAATAATAAGACATGTTGTCATATTATTGTTGACGGACATCGCTGTCTGTTGACCTGGTACAACATTATGACATGTAGTCGTAGTATTGTTAACGGACATACCTGTCTGTTGACCTGGGACAACACTAGGACATGTAGTTGTAGTATTGTTGACGGGCATCGCAGTCTGTTGACCTGGGACAACACTAGGACATGTAGTCATATTATTGCTGACGGACTTCGCTGTCTGTTGTCTGCCTTTTACTGGCGATATTGCTCTTTTTGCAGTTGGAAGCTCCTGTGAACCTCGCAGAAGAATTTGTCATCATCTTGCTGTACACCCTGGAGGACCTGTCAGAATCTCTTTCCGAGTATCGGTTCTGAAACAAAATATATAATAATCAGCACAATGTGTATATATCATTTTAGGGTTTTGAGGGGGAAATTAGTATCCAGCAACCGCATATCTGGTGATTAATGGTTGGGGACAATTTTAACCTGTAACCTAATTTCCCAATTGGATCCCACCCATGGGTGAGAATTGACCGCAGGGAAAACTCTGGTAGGACGAATGTATTTGTCTAATGATATGTCAGCCATGCATGGGTAAAGAATATGGTTATAGGGTTGGTATGTCCACCGTTTCCAAGTGATGACCCAATTTCTCACATTGGGCTCCACCCATCTGCCCCGAGGGGATGGAGTGGGAGGTCACATCCTCTGTTTATACAATGGTGGGTCCCCTTGAACTAACAATGTTATATCATATTTGGTTTTAATCATTCCATCCATATAGAAAAGGTAAAGGATTTTAAATATTTAACTCTGTAGATGAAGGGCTACCAAAATTGTTCAAATAAATGAACTTGACCAATATCAAGGTCACAGGGGTTAAATATGTTTAAAACCTTGAAACAACTTCTTCTAAATAACCGAGAGTTTGTTGTTGGTAATTAACTTGAACCCTAAGATCCTGTAATTCGGACTGTAAATGATTCAGTTCCTGAGCGACATAGCCAGGGTCATATAGGCAAAATATTGACCTTTGATAGATAGGAAACCATTTTCAAATATCTACAACAACACATGTTTTGATATAGATATTCATGTACTGTATATAGTAGACATAATACATTAACGACAGCTGATCACACATCAAAACAGAATGTGTGTGCTGATATCCTGGTGTATTCTGCCTCTCTTACTTGACGCCGTAGTATTGTTGAATCCTTCAGTATCCCACTTATTAACTCAATTACAACATATTTGGAAATTGCGATTCACTTTTTATGGCGTTACAATTTAGCGTGTGGTATTCTGCATGAGGCATGCCAAGCTTTCCCAGTTAAAACGAGAGACCAAACTGTGAAGGGTGGGAGAATCGTTTTGTCTTCAACACTGCACAGCTGCATTGCTGTTTTATATTTTGTAAAGATGAACAATTGCTAGGCATAAGCAAATGAATACAATATCGTTACCTGTCTTGCCTCGCCATTAGTAAATAAGTTCCGAGCTCAACTCTGAATAAATAAAGAACTTTAAGAAAATTTCAGTAATCACAATTCTTCATTAAGTTATTCAACATCAGTTTTGTTTCAATTACCGTACGTATACTGTTAATTCCTTTATTTTGCTTACATTGATTAATCACTGTTTAATTTCAAATTAGGCAGTATAAGTTGGTTTTTGATAGCATTGTTTTATTGGCAATAGAAGTCATTCGGTGAAGGATTTGATAGGGTCGTCGAGGTTTCTGAAATGTTCTTTTGCAAGGTGCGAACGCTCAACAAATGGCCAAAAGTGAGGCATGTCAAGGAAGACATTAGGAAGAAGAAAGTTATTTAGAAAGGAGAAAAGAGATAAGGTCCCAAATTTAGTCGCCTCTTACGATCATACAATTGGGGGCAGCAGGTATATTCTAACGCCCTACCTGCAGGGTCTGCCTTAACGGATCATTTTACAAACATATCATGAGTTTTCACATGGAAAGGGTTTTGAGAAAGTGTATACTCTAGTTCAGACAATTCAGCGGCGATTCACACAAGAAAAGTGAACAAAACCGTTTAGAGTTACAGGGTCAAGTCAACCTTTGTTTTTGTGCAGATCATCCATCTGTTAATCAATCTCGTCCTGGGAAATTTATATAATCAATCTACATCTTTCCTGGTCACATCTACAATCAATTTCTTCATCTCGCGTTAAATATATATATATATCCAATTTCTATACTTGTCCCGAATGGGGATCGAGAAAAGAATACACCTGCTGTTACCCGCGGCATGTATCGTAGGAGGCGACTAATGTTTAAACCCCCTGCAGAATTAGGGATTTGCTTTGGTGTCCTCTATTTGAGGACACAAAAAGCTACCAAAATAAATCTGCTGCGCCCATTGCAATATTAGGGATCTTTATCTTTCTTTCTACTTCTAGCTACTTTTTATTTCAAAACGCCTTGCTTGGCAACACCTCACTTTTGGCTTTAATGTTGAGCGTTCGCCCAGGTGAGGAAGGCAATGGGTTCTGTTCCCAGGCCGGTTGTTATTCCCTGCTTAACGTTCAGCATTAAGGGAAATGACAACTGGTTCACCCGTTGTCAGTATAATGTGACCGGGCCGAATGTTGTGCTTCGTGCCTTCGGCACTAGATATCACTATAATGATATAATGAGATATCACTATAAAGTCGAAGTCAGATCCGCGCTATCACAAGGAGGCAAACACACCAACATACACTGTATCCTGCATACACACACGCAAGCACACATACACTACACTAATGGAGGCACGTCCATAAATACCTTAGCTGTTTACAGGACGTTAAACAAAACTAAAAAAAACAAAGTCCCGCACAAGATATATACTTAATCTCTACGTCTCTCCTAAACGATATATGTCAGCAATCTCTATATCTACATCTTTCCAGAATAATACATATAATCGATCTCAACATCTCTCCTGAACAATAAATATAACTAATCTCTACGTCTCTTCTAAACAATATATATCACCAATATCAACATCTCTCCTGAACAATAAATATAATTAATCTCTACGTCTCTTCTAAACAATATATATCGCCCATATTTTACATTAACAATATATATAATCAATCTCTGTATTGCTCATGAGCCATTCATCAATTCAATCTGTACATCTCTCCTGAACAACATATATAATCAGGGTTTTTTTTTATCTCTCCTGAAATGTGTTTATATAATCAACCTTTACATCTCACCTGAATAATGTTTTATAAATCTCTGAATCCTTCCAAAATAATCTTTTCACAACGGAACTAGTACTCCCAATGAATAGTTATGTCTCTCTCATAAACCACAACAATAATCTTAAAAATACATTTCTTAATTCTATTATTTCCGGGATTCCTCTATAAGCGTAATTTAACTTTATGGATTTTTACAATACTTATATATCTCAAAGCTTATTTTATATGAATAACACCCGATATTCTACATTGAGGGAAAAAGGCAAATTATTAAATATCTATAATATTTATAACACGATTAAACGCCTTAATAGTAAGTGAATACTCATAAAACACTACTTCTTATCATGCTAACTATTACCAGGTTAACAAATAGCTGCTTATCATGACGTAAACCAGACATCTTGCCTTATAAGATTTCACACCTACATTGCCCTAACTTAACACGCACAAAAACGTATCATTAATACCTTAGGACACGCCTATTTATCTACACCCACATCAATAAACAGCCATACACAAACAAGCTAACGCTGACGCACAGTTTAAGCATCCAACGCTTGTGATATATTAGCAGCTTAAAATAAACGCATGTACCACTATAAAACTACCACTTTAAATGGACAACCTTGCTTTTTTTGAGAAACTTATCGCAACGATTGGTTTTAGATCCACGACTGACAAATACTATATTATACAAATTTGTCAGAATAACATAGATTTACTCAATATGAATCCGATAGCATTTTATATGGTTTTGTGTCAAACTATTCGAATCTGTTATTCATCTGATTGGCACTTTGACCACCTGGAGCAATGTCACCGCGAGTATCATTCCTGTTCAAGTGGATCAAAGATGTGCAGATGTGATCCAATGTGTTTATACTACGATGACTGTTGCTTTGATGCAGAAGTAAGGAAAGAAGCGATCAAGGCACCAAACACGGAATATCGGACAGTTCTGAACAAAACATCTTGTGAGTTAGTCACAAGAGGATGGATGACTACGAAAAGACGAGCTCTCATGGTATCGGCTTGTCCAGAATCGCCCGGTGCTCAAGCAGACGTAGGTAACAAATGTAAACAAAGTTATATCAATGATGTCCTGGACATTGTTCCCGTTACAGACATCAGGACAAATGTAACTTTTAAAAACAGACATTGTGCGAAATGCCATGGAATACAGGACTGGGTGCCGTGGCTTTTAAAAGTTCATTGCAGAACTATTTTTTATCGTTTCAGCAATTTTCCAAACTCGTTGTCTTTGCTTGAAGCAGTTATGTTGAAAATTAAGAGTGTCTATTGTAGTTACAGCTTTGAACCACCACAATATACGATAACACGTTATTGTTTCCAGCAATACGAATACAATCTCGTAAGCGTTTTGGGAAACGAAACAACATGTGACAATCGCATTTTTAAGCCAATTTCGTATTATCATGGATTAATCACAGACTACTACAGGACAATACAATGCTACATTGACAGCGGTAATCCTAACTACCCAAATGTGTCCCAGGATGTACAATGTTATGTTGCTAATACGGATTCGAATGTAAATGCGGATATTTTTACGCTGAGCAGCTTGATAGATCTGTCCTCGTTGCTACACACGCACTCCAATGTAGCACAGTGTGGCGAAAAAGAAATACACCTTTCTAACAAGGTAATGTAACAGGTAACGATGTAACAATACTATCAATTTGAAACATAACCCCTAATTATATCGACATTATTAAGTTTAAGATCTCAAAAAGTGTAGAATATACATTTTTTTAAATCCTTTGTGAAATCTGAAAACTCGACAGAACCACAAAAAAATGACATATTGCACAATAAAAGAAACTATTCTCTTTGAGTATAGTTCTAGCCGGTTATGTCATATTTACTAAAAACTTAAAACAAAGTTAGTACATAAAATAAAAAATGTAACAAAAGAATACTCACTTACCAGCAAAACAAAACTTTCAAAACAAAATTTCTTTAGAACTAGAAACGTTCTGAAATTACAGAAAATAATCTCCGGACGTAAACATTATGTATTTTATCTTCTCTATTAATATATTAGATTTCCATAAAAAGGTGTTACTAATGAAGCTTATAATTAATATCTATTGCTATCAACAGATTGGGTGCCAGCTTCTGTAATGTCCAAACA